TAGCAGCTGTAGAGTCCAGGGAAATTGGGCTAAGAAACAGGGAAAACAAATATTTTTCTTTTCTAGATAATGAAAATGAGAAGATGAAGACTCAGATTAAGCAGATGATGGATGTCTCCAGGGTATGCTGCACAAGATATTTAATAAATGCAGTCACATTACTGCTATGCCTAAGATCATAAACTTTCTGCTTCTGTTTTCAGGTAAAAACTATGTTAACCATAGTTGAAGAAGACAGAAATCTTCTGCAGTCCAAACTGAGTGATGAAGTAACAGCAAGACATGAGCTTGAAGGTAGGCTTAGCAAAAGAATTGCTTAGGATGAAGTGCTGTTTGTGGTTTTAAAAGAAACGGAGCGTTGAAGTGGCGTAACAGTTCTCATTGCTATTTTCTTCAACTTCCTCACCTGCCTTTGCTTTTCCAACAGAGCAAATAAAAAAATTAGAACATGTCTCCAGTTCGCTCCAGTCAGCCAAAGCGCAACTGGAAAGTGAATGCAAAACACTGCAGCAGAAAGTCGAGATTCTTGGTGAACTTTACCAGCAGAAGGAGATGGCACTCCAGAAGTAAGCCTTTCCTTACTCTTCCACAACATAGCATATTATATCGTAGATGCTATCCAAATGCTCTTTGCTCAGCAGGATCACATAACGTGAAGTAGTGTTTAGAAGGAAAGGTGATAACTACCGTTCAGTGTGGTTGAAGCTAGTACCCCTCTTTTACTTTTTCCACTAGTCCAGAAATCCTAACAAACTGTCCCTTTTGGAGAGGGTAGATGGATGGCTTGGTCTGCATGTTCTATGGTTGCTCTGTCCCATTGTACAGAAGAATTTAGTGACCATTAAGATCTGTTTCAGTTACTCTGACCTCAGTTCAGTGAGTCTAATTCTCATAATGTACAAACTTCAGTATTTTAGCCTTGCGAGCTTTTTGTGTTCTCAAAGGGATTAAGGCTGAATTCACAGTGGCAGCTGAGATGAGTGAATGGCTAGCAGTGAAGAACTGGTTGTGCATCTGTATTCATTCCTCATTTGTTCACTTATTTAGTAACTGAAATGTCTGTGATACCTCAGTTTCGTGGGGAAAATTTGAGATAGGATTCAAGGACATTTTCAGCTAAATTCCGTAGGAGAACTGAAATTGTGGTGAAAAAGCAACTGAAAGTTCTAGAGTTCATGTGTGTAGTTTGGGGGAAGTGCGGGGTTGGAACAAGCTTAGGAGCTGAAGCTCTACAGCACCTCAGTCGTGAAACTGCCTGACCTTCTGACTTCAGGATCCAGGTGCAGTAAACACATAATGGAAAGGTGAAGGATAGCCCACCTTTGAAGAAATACTTCCTCTTGACCTCTGTGAAGGATTTCTGTTCTTTCCAAAACTTCTAGGAAGTTACACTGCCTGTTACTACTTCTTGATTAGAATGAAGGACTTCCTGCAATTTTTTTCTGGAACACTGGTTCCACATGTAGCCAAGGAAATGGAATATGTTTAACTGGCCATTAGCAGTAGTCAGCTTACTACTGGTTTAGTGGTTCCAGTTTTGTGGGATAGGTCTCATAAGTTAGGAACACATTATGGACCTCTTAAATACTTCTAGACGAGTGTCAAAAATGAAAAAAATGAGTGAACCATCAGGTTATAAAATGATTGTGGAAATTGATCATGTAATAAATTGGTATGGAGAATACTTTGAAAAAGCTTCTTTTCACCCAGTTGATGACCATGAAGCGTTTGTCACCTGGGCTCTAAATTCCCCCTTTTTCACTACACATTCATGTCCTCATTTCCCTTGCTTAGATGTCAGTTCTGCCTATTTCCTTGTTTGTACCTTTGTAAATCTAGATTATCATCTGTAGAATTGGTAAGTAAACTACAGGTTCTGAAGAGATGAACTGTCTACAACTGTTAGATTCTGGCAAACCTGTAGATGCTGATAGAACTTTCCAGTCAACTCTGCATCCCTAATTTTCAGGTTTTATACACAAAGAGTTTGCCTCTTGGTTTGAAAAGACAGTATTTTTGTCTTTTTTTAAAATCTATTCTCTCTCCATATTCTCACACATTATTATAGATTCTGATATCACTGTTGTTAGCAGGGGCACTACCTTGATTTTGAGTTGTAGTAGATGTAGGATCGTGGAATATATAGTGCTTTTTTTTTTCCCCCCTATGCAGAAAACTAACCCAGGAAGAGTATGAGCGTCAGGAGAAGGAGCAGAAATTGTCTGCTGCAGATGAAAAAGCTGTGCTGGCCATCGAGGAAGTGAAAGTTTACAAGTAACTTGAGTTTCTGAAGAATGTTGTTTTCCTTTATTTCAGCTGTTAAAAACCTAATATTTAAACCTCTCTCTACCTTCTTTTTCCTTTTGTACAGGCAAAGGATCCAAGATATGGAAGAAGAATTGCAAAAAACAGAGAGATCTTACAAAAACCAGGTAAACTTCTTGCTCTGTAGTTAGTTACTGGAAATACTAGGAGTTGGACAAAATAAACTGAAAATGCTGCTTTTCTTCTCAGATTGCTGCTCATGAGAAAAAGGCACATGACAACTGGGTAAGAATAGTCTTCCTTTTCTGATGCAAACAGTTTGTATTTGACTTCAGGTTGGTGCAGTTAATGCAGTTGGTAAAATTTTCCCTAATAGCTTATTGCCCGCTCTGCCGAGAGAGCTCTGGCTGAAGAAAAAAGAGAAGCAGCCAACCTGAGACAAAAGTAAGTACAGAACAGACCATTCTTATTGCTCTTTGAACGTGTGGTGTGGGAGAGAAGGAGCTCAAACAATGCAAGGTCCTCTGTTAGCCTGCTTGCTCAGAATGTGCAGTTTGTATCTGAGTTACTAATTTTGGACTACTATTAAACTATTTTGATGGTTAAAATAAGACTTCTTGGTGAAAGCTGTAACATTTTTGCAATGCAGTTTGCCTTGTTACGTTATAACAAATATAACTCACGTGTATTACTTGAATTATAAAAAAACCCTTCATTTTTTAAAATTAGATTAATAGAAGTAAACCAAAAAATCGTCATGCTTCAAAGACCATTAATTGTAAAGCCAACTCCAGGCAGACCCGATCGCCAGGTCCCACCACGACAAGGTAAATGCTGCCGTTTCTCCCAAAACTTCGGTCTTTGCGTTAGTATATGCTAAAAAAAAAAAAGGCTATGATAAATAGAGGTAAAGTAAATAAAGTGGTTTTTCTTTGGCATAGGGCCCTTAAGCAGAGATGGCTCTTTTGGCCCATCACCTGTGAGCGGAGGAAATCCATCACCCACACAGATGATAGAAGTTCCTCCTCGGCCCCTTTCTGCTCCTCGAAGGGAAGGCTCAAGAGGTGAATTTGGTAAGCAGTGAAGCTTTCCTTCTGTGACAGCTGCCTCTCAGGCTACAAACCCAAGAATGCTAAGGTCTGATCTTGGCTTTAGGGATAAGTATTGATATCAGCTTTATTAATACACAGATGAGTGGGGGTGTTTCAGGGTTTGTTTTGTTTCTAAATAGAAGTAGCTTCAGCACGTGTTGATTAGGATCTCTCGGGTTCTTGTTTCCCTTAAGGAACAGTGGTAGATGGCCCTCCTGTTCCACGAAGGCCACCAGAGTTACGTGGAAGGATGTCTGTTCCTGGTAAGTTATGTGGCCTGCAACCAACTGCAACTTACTCAGATACTCTTTCACGTCAGAAATGTAATTTAAAAACCATGTTCCTTACCCCAAACATGGTAAGATATTCATGTGTGGCTCTCTTTGCAGATCTTGGGCCAGCTGTAGCATCCCTGATCAGTAGTGGGCCAAGAACCTCCTCCCCTTCCACAGCAGTGGATGGAGTGGTAAGCTGAAAAACTCCCAACCTCCAGGAAGCCTTTCTAATACATGATTCGCTGTACTTCCTACTGCTCCTTTAACTGTATCATGTTCTGTCTTGTCTATATCCTGTCACTATCCTTATTTGCTGTCACAAAAAAAAAAGCAACCCTCTCCCAAAGAGTCTGAAGCCCCCTGTGTAACTACTGATTCACCTTCATCTGTTGAACCAGCTACAGTGAGTATTCAGAGGGTGAACATGGTGTTACTCTGCTTTTGGAGAGGAATAACAGGCTTGGTGTTCTGAACTGCTAAATAACGAAATGCTCTGCAAAACTAACCAAGGGCTTGTACCTCTGTCTCAAAAGGTTTCTCTAATGATGAACAGTTGCTGTCTGGTTTTTATGGAATTGAGGAAATGACATCTTTCTTGTTAAGGACTGCAGGCAAACACTTTGGAGTGACTACAACAATAATCCTAAGAAGCTGACTTACCTGTGGTATTTAAGCACAATTCCATGTGTTATTGAAGGTGCCAGGCCCTTTATCAAAGTGGTGTCCATCAAGGACAATTCAGAAGGGATTTAACTTTTCTTTAGTACAGCTTTAGCTAAAGAAAACTTGTCATCTTGGAAGGTACACTAAGCACTCACTCCTAGGTAGTGCAAGCAGTGTTCTGGGTGAAGGGACTTTGACTGTTTCCTATTTAGGTAACGTGTTTTGAAGTGTGTGGTTTTTGGTTGGTTGGTTGTTTTTTTTTCTTCCCCTCTCTTCTACCTCTTGGTCTTTGGGCAAGCGGTCGTGGTGTTCAGCAGTGTCAGTTTCTCTGATACAGTGAATAACTCACTGACATATAACCTAATCTTGCACAGGCTAATGCTAGTCCCAAAGGCCCACCTTCTTTCCCTGGGACACCTATCATGACTTCCCCAGTGATGGGACCACCACCTCCACCGCCTGTTCGCTATGGACCACCACCGGCTCCTTTCCGTGGGCACTTTGGGCCTCGACCTCTTCCGGTGCCCCTAGGTACGGTTGCATTACTGTGTGCTGAAACTTCATTTTTCCACTGTGCTTCTTGGATGTGTACTGCAGAACGCAGATCTGCCAACCATTAGCACACAGCTTCCCCGTGCTTTGTGGGGTCTAGCTGTCTTGCTCAGTAAGCTTGGACAGGTGTGTGTTTTTTTCAAGCCTCCTTAATGCCAGTATATTTTTCCTTGTTTAGTCTAAAATGGAAACCAGCAGCCAAAATTCACTAGAATATTATTTGTGGCCTGTGACGTCTGCATGTGAGGGTGACCCACCTCAGCGCTGCTCCATAGAAGTTAAACGAGGAACAAGTCAGAGGCTTCACTAGTTATGTTAAAGCAAGATGTCATTTAACTCTGTGTTTCTCTTTCCTTCTAGTTCGTGGTGCTCCTTTGCCACCTCCAGCTGCAAGAGATTTCTTACCTGGCCCACCCTTTGGAATGAGAGATCCACCTCCTCCAGATCCAAGAGGCTATGGACGTGGGCACCCTCCTGTTCGACCTCTAGGTCCTCCTGGCCCAAGAGATTATCCTCCAGGCCCACGGCTACCCCCACCTGGCTCAAGAGACTATACACCTTCTCCCAACAGAGACTTGCCTCCATCAGGACCCAGAGACTACCCTCCAGGCCCTCCACCACCACCGACAGGCTCGAAGGACTACGCACAGCCTCCAGCACAGAAACCCTAATTGCAGCATCAGGTCAGCAGCTCAACAGAATGGACTAGCGCACTTCCTGTGGTCAGGATTGTAGGAAACGGCTCCCTGTTTGAAGCCGTTTGTCTCATTTCAGTATATTTCAGCTTTTGCAGGATTAATTTTTATCCAATTGCTACAGACATGTGCATTTATGATCACCTTCAACTCATCCATCCTCTTGGGCTGCAAGAACCTTTTTGTGATGGACTTGAACCTATTCTAAACGTGCAATAGAAAGGAAGTACCTGCGTGGCTAGTTTTAATTAAATGTAGCCTCTGTAACCAGTTGGTGAATGAACTAATTTCGTGAAAAATGTAAAATCATTTCCTGTGGAAATAATTTTTAAGTAAAATGCTATCTTACCTGCCTTCTCCATCACATCACTAAGCTGCAGTTATTGTAGGCCAGGGGTTTACATGTGGACTATGAGGTGTTGTTTGGCTTTGGTCTTTTTTTTTTTCAAAGCTGATGTCTGGTCAGAGATCAGAAGCACAAATGACACTGTATTCAAAGGAAAGTTATAATAAAAAGCAAAATTCATTTTGCTAAACCCTGAAGGCTTTGTTTCAGTGCCATTTTTTGTTTAGAAAAGACATTGGTTAAATTACTGAACCAGAGGATGCTATAGCCTTGACCAAGTTCAGAATTGAATGACGGCTGAACAACTGTGTTACTCTTATGCTGAAGGAGTCTGGCATGTTATAGCCATGAGGACAATGGGAGATACAGCCCTCCTCAGCTGCAGGGCAGCACAGAGCTGGAAGCCTCTATGGAGTTGTGTGCCTAGCTTGGAAATTACAGGTGAATGCTCCATGGTTCTGGAACTAAGACATTTCTTAATAGCTCCCTACTTTGAACACTGGCTTGCAGCATTTAAGCAAAGTTTGAGTGCTGAGTTTTCATCTTACTCAGTATTTAAGACCAACTCGGTTTCCTTGGTGGTCAGACTGTATTTTTTACAGCCTTTTATTTCTTATTAAGAAGGGAAAAAAATAGTTTTCCATAAAGCAGAGTGGATATATGTAAAAAATAGTAACCTGTATTGCTTTGAATCAGTTTGTGTACTAGGAACACTGGACAGCTTTAAAAACACACCCTGCACTTGTAGATGTTCAAGTCCTTGAATGTGTTAGCGCAAGGCTGAGTATGCAGGATATGGTACAGCAGGCCACTTACTTACCTAGCCATGTTTTTCAAAAGTGCTCTGTACAAAAGTAAGCCTTAGGGAGGAAAATAGGGAAAAAGAAGCAGGAATAATAAAAAACCCCTACTGAAAGGCCATTACAGTTTTACTGCCAGAGTACAAGCAGCCATTAAACTTGCCAGCTAGGTGGTACACTCTTACAGTACAAGTATTAAGCTTTAGGTTGAAGATGAAAGACAAGATAGAACATCACTAAAGCATAAAGCAATACAAGAGCTCATGGTGTGAAGAGCAGTAGTCCTTTCAGTGAAAGACAGTTCACAGAAAAAACATGATAGAAGCAACTTTCAAAATGGTATTTCACCCTCTACAGACATAAATTCACAGTTAAATACAAAGATCTACTTGTGTATTTAACAAAAAATACTTCAAAGTTGACATTTCATATAACTGGAGTTAATACAGACAGCTACAAGCTGGGGAGGTGTCAAGGTAAGCAGCTGAAACGATGGGTTTGTATTTCAAGTGAAAGTGTTATTTGCGTAGGGCATAGTGACACACACACTAATGAATATTCATTGAACAACCCATTGTTGGGTTCCCCAAGTTCAGGATCTTTCTCCAGCACAAAGCTTTGTGATGCTTCATGTCTCTTCCCTATAGGAGCCTTCACAACTTAAAGCTGCATGGAATTGCAGGAGGAAAGGGATACTCACTGCCTGCAGTGCTTGTCACCAGCAGACAGGGGAGGATGGCAGAGCTGGGACAGAGCCCCAGAATCATGCCTTGCTGAGGGAGATGTTGCAGGGATGCTGCTATTACAGATTCTTAGAGGTCAGAAAGAGACCTGAGCCAGCCAGGGATGACAGCCAGGTAACACAGCTGTTTACCTGGCACAGATTTATTTGCAGCCATAGACTGATGCTTTGCTCCATTCTTTTGCAGAGTTCAAAGGCTGATTTTTATTTATTAACAATTTTTGTATCCTCTTTTTGTCTGGTATCCCAAATGCTGCATGCAGAGGTATTTCCATAACTCATAGGGATATTGAATGTATCAGGTGTAACACCATTGGGGTATTGTAAAGACCCGTAAACAGGAAAATTCAATTGCACTTTTTCCCTCCCCTTTCCCCCCAGCAGTAGAATTTGAGGAAGTGTTGCTGACTTTTGTCATAACACCTAAATAATATACCAGAACAGAGGGAAGGGCAGATGATTAGGACATTCAAAAATAGCTTTTTATCCCAATCAATACAGTAAAGCCAAAAATGCTGAACAGCTGGCTGCAGACAGACAAACATGAGGAATAAAAGTAACATCCATCCCATTAAAGCATAATGTAACATAACAGAAAAGAGGCATCAGTGACACATCTGCACCTAGACTGTTCAAAACAAACCCAACATTTGACACTGTTGTGGGAGCTGGGTCTTTTCTTAGCATAGCAGGGTATTTAGGCACTAATTAGATATGCAAGAAGTATATCAAACCTTAAAGTATTGTATTAAATATCCACACAAATATATGAAAGATTTGACTGGGTTCTACTTCTGTCCCTTTATTAGGTCAAAAGGTGAAGGCAAGTGTGTCATAATAAGCCAATATCCTGCAGCTTATTACACACCAAATCAAAAATATAGAAAATAAATGATAATCCTATCTACTTACATAAAAAGGTAATTTTTAGAGTAAGTTAGTTTCCAGACTTCCACAAAATATGCAGAAAACTGCATACGATCAGTTTCCATAAGAACAGCAGTTTCATGTAAAAGGTGGGTCAACCTGCTAGCCAGATCTACTTTTCCCAGAAGCTCTGGAAAATCAGTGCTTGAACACTGAGGGGCCTGTCCTGCTGGCACTGCAGCGGTGGAACACCCAGCGCCATGAAGATGAAGCCCTGGAGACAACTTCTTTCTGTCTCTCACCCACCTTTGCAAATCACTCTGTGACAAGATACAGAAAAGTTTGCTCTACTGGTGAATAACGGTGATTTAAAGGATTGTAACATGTATTGTATCCAAAAACTCAGTATGAGTGGATCAGGCAAGGCTGTGAAAATCATAGTTCAGGGTTCTCATCTGCAGTTGTCCTCCTCCTGGCCTGACCAAAGCAGAACAGCTGACTGAGGAGCTCTGCTGTGGCCACCTCACCTCACCCAGCAACCTCTTCTCTCTCACTTTAAATCACTTGCAGTGCCTCAAGCTCCTTCCCACCCCACCTTGCCTTTCTCCCAGTCTTCTGCCACCCAGCCCACTACAGAGGACTCCGAAATGCAGATGAGAACTACAATAGCACAGCAAGTGTAAACAGTTAGTAGGCCTGCCACATCTTTATTGCTACAGGTTTGGCAAAGGGGCAGTCTCCATCCTTGGGTGGAGTTGGAGGCAAAAGGATAATAACAGTTAAGAAAGAGTGATGAACAGCGAAATTAGGAAAAGCAGTCAACATATTTCAAGGCTCTCAGAAAAACCTGTATCTGGAAGGTACTGAAAAAATCTTGCACTCAAGCAGTAGCTTGCCTCTGACCCCGAAGCAGTGCTGTGCAGTGTGTGATGGTCCCGTCTGACCTACTGGCATGAATACAGTCTTTTCCTGCCCCTCGAAGGCTAAGGCTACTACACACAGCTACCATGACTTGTGGTTCAGTTCACAGAAGTCTCACAACCAGGGTCATTCCTTGTGCAATGTTTGATGAAGGTGAAGGTAAAGTGGTTTCTTGGTCAACAGTTGCAATTTCTTCCTTTTGAAGTCAGTGGGTTTTTTGTACCTGTAACCACAGGAACATAAGTTAATCCAAGTACTAATGGCTGCATAGGAAGATGAAAGCATACGAAAAAGCTTGTCCTGTACAGATCTTATTACCGTAATCTTTTAAATACATCTGACAAGACTTACTGGAAGCAACAATAACAAGCAGATTTACAGCAAGAAAATCAAACCAAAAACTGAGAGAATATTGGCTGGTCTTTGCTTTGTTTTGTTTTTAATCCAGCTGATCTGACACTCAAGCTAAGGTCAAAATTAAAATCCCCCATACAGAAATTGTTAACTTCATACAAAATTTAGTTACAAACACCAGCATTTTATTTTGAAATAGTTGGTTTTTGAGAATGGTCTCTAGCCATTTTATTTTGCCTCAATGCATTTTACCTTCCTTTCTTTATTAAAAATAGAATATTCCTTATGGAAGTCAATCTCATGAGTCCAAGAAACCTTCCCTAATGCCAGAAGCCACACATTGTGACTGAAGTCTAGCTCATTTCCTCTGCCATTAGTATCTGTAATTGCAAGTCACTTACAGTTCTATAACAATTGCCCCAGGTTTAATTTCATCCATCTCCATGAAAGCAAAGCACTTGGTGCTCGTGAACCTTTTCTTAGGCTTGTAGTGTTTGAATTCAAAGAAAATAGCTGCACCTAGGGTGGAAAATGGTTTAATAGAAAAGTTAGCAATTATGGCCAACAGCTATCTGAAAACTTAGCTGCCATTAAAATCCTCTACATACATTGACAGGAATTATCTCCAACACTATTATTTACTCAGAAGCTGCACCATCTTTATAATGCTCACACTCACAAGAGCTTGCGCTCTTCACTCAGTTATTCATATCAAGGTAACAGTTTGTCCAATGACTACGGTGATAAAGCAGCTCAATACCTGTGCTGCAGAGCGGACTGCTGCATTTTTCTCTCTTTTCTCCCTTGTCTGCAAGTCATCACAACAACTGAGTCAAAAGAGACAGGATGCAAAGGTCTATTTTTATCCTTGTCTGGACCTTGAGCCCTGCAGCAGCAGCTCAGGCATGGCCTGTTTATCAGATAACAGTGCCCACACTTGCAAAGCTTCTGGCCCTGTTTCTGGTCTCTGATACCACGTACCTTTTGTTAGTTTTTCAATGTGTTTCTGAATCTCGATGTCCACATTAAAATGGATGTATGTGTCCTCCTTCCTCAAAGCCACAGGAGTATCTTGCACAGGAGTCAGATCTATCCCGTTCAAATCTGCAGGAAAGAAACAGCATGAGAATGGCAGAAGCTTCTCAGACTTTAGGTTATGCTTTAAGAGATTTCCGAGTCACTCCTAATACTTTCACAAAAAGTTAATGCACACTTGGATTTTTTTTTTTCTCTAAACTTAAAGGGCAATCACACCCCTTCATAGACAGTGAATTTTCTTTTTGATTGCAATGTGAAAGCAGGTAAAGTCCTGACAGTATCCAAGATGAAAATTTGGAATTATCCCTGTTTTCTTTATTTTTAGGAGCACATTTCTGCTACCAGCAAAGG